CCTGCTGAATGCTCAGGTGGGCTGGTCTGCCCAGGAGAAGTGGACTCTGGAGAGGCTGAAACGCAAGTACAGGAATCAGAAGTTCAAATGTGGGGAGGACAATGATGGATATTCCGTCAAGATGAAGATGAAGTACTACATCGAGTACATGGAGACCACACGTGATGACAGCCCCCTCTACATCTTTGACAGCAGTTATGGGGAGCATCCCAAACGCAGGAAACTCCTGGAGGACTACAAAGTACCCAAGTTCTTCACTGATGATCTCTTCCAGTACGCAGGGGAGAAACGAAGGCCACCATACAGGTATGGTGCAGAGACAGCAAGATCAAATCCAGGTGTTTTCCATCTCACTAGCCATTCCTAAGTGGTGGGTATGATGGTCTTGTGTGAAACAAAGGGGTGGCTTTCCATCTGCTGTTTTGAAATGAGCATGCATCTATCATCCAGAGGGAGGGAAGGGCAGGTTTGTCTATCACAGTTGATGGTTCTGCCTCCAGTGGTGCTACAGGTTTGTGGATTTTTTTCTTTTTTCAGCTAGTTTCTCTCACTTCTTGGACTTTAAAAAAACTTGCATTGAAAGATATGAAGATGAATGTCTTGCTGTGTGTGCCTTCTGGTTTTCAAATTTTCAGTACCTCAGGACTAGCTTCTGGGTTTTGCACCAGTGAGTTATGTACATGGTGGGACTGTGTTTAATTATGAGTCAGTCCTTTTAAGGTCAAGATCTTAAGGTAGGTGATATGAAGTGTGGGGATTAAGTTTTTGGCTCCCCTTAGGTAATTTTGAGAGAGAACAATATTTCACATCAATGTCAGCTCTTTGCATCTGATTGAAAAGGGATTTGAGTTAAACTTCATTCCTGAATTAATTCAAATGCAACAACCTTATATTTGGGCTGTTAAATACAAAAGGGATTTTTGTCTATGTTAATACAACTCTTTGTAGAAGTGGGAGCACGAGCTTAATTCTCCCAAGTAATTAAAGTCTTTACAGCAACATAATTGTCAGAGAGTGCCTTGTCTTTTGAGTGACATGAGGCTGTGATGTGGGTTTTTTATTGTTTCATTTTTTTTTAAATAAAGTAGGCCAAGGGATGAATAATGGTTCTCCTTTAGTGCACTCATTCCTGTGTCTGTAGCCCAGTAGTGGTTTTGCAGGGGTGAAGCATGAAGCTAATTCTGTTTGAGACACCTGAAGTGTTTTTTTTAACAGACCCTTGTTATAATTCACTTCTAAGAGGGACACACACAATGATGTGATCAAACACAACAGCCCACTAGGTGTAGTCTCTGGTAGTAGCTGAATACTTACAGAACTGGGAATCATTTATCCAGATTATAGGTAAACTAGATGGGAGGGAAAGGGCCCCACATAGGACTAAATAAATAATTTGGTTGTGACTCAATTTATATTGGTATCTCCTTCCCCCACACCCTCCCCCACCTAGAGCCACATGCTGAGCTCCTTGCTTGTCATCTCGGTGTTCACAATCCTGTTCTTTGTTCTGGAAAACGTGGGTTTGTGAGAGGCTGTTATCTTTTTTTGAGTCATGCAGGAGGGCACACTGATGCCTCCTGGAGTTAAGGGTTTCATCTGGGTACAGGAATGGATGAAGGGTATCCAGTAGCTTAAGAGTATAATTGAAAATCCAACAGGAAGTGGTGCTCTCTAATCATATGATCAGGCTGTGGACAGATTGACCTTTGGAATGAGACCTCTCAGTAGTGGCAGTGGGTAGATCTTTGAGTAAGAAGCCCTTTAGAACATCTTTATTAGAGTTATTCCTTCAAAATAAAGGCAGTAATTTTTGGAAGCCATTTGCTGAAGCAGCTATTTTAGTTTGGAGAGGAGTGGAGCTTTTTGCTTTTCAATTGAAGCTACAGGATGTCAAGTTTTTAATAGTAAATATGATGCCTTGTGGCAAACTGGTTATGTTCCTGGTAAATGAAGTGCCTGGAGGAAGATGCTGGTAAATGGTGTTGTTGCTAAATAAGGGTTTTAAAGCTTCTATGTCTGTAGATTTGGGTTGTAGTCAGAAATACAGTGCTGAACAGTGCATCTGTCTGTGCACCAGACAGGTCTTCATGTGTTTCATCTGACTTGTTAGTAAAAGCTTCAGCTGTTCTGCTTGTGGGCTAATTAGCTTTCCAAGTCTAATAGGAATCTAAGGAGTGAAATGACAATAGAAATGTCAAACACCTGCTTTTTTAGGTTTTTTTTATGGCTCCTTTATGAAGTAGGAAGAGTGCAGCTTGATAACCAGCCTTACAGCCCTACAACTGGTGTTAGCAAATGATACTTGGAAACCAGGCCAATTTACACCTGCATTGGAAAGGGGAGATGCAGAGTTTGTTGACTCCCAATATTTTCTGAGCCTTTGGACTCATCTTGCTGGGCATCACCTGCCTGTCAGCCACAAGATGGAGGGGGCTTTTAGTTTCTACCCTCTCTGCTGCCCATTAAACAATTACTGCCAGTTTTTTTCCTCCTGATGCCTGTTATTAAGTCACTTCACTCACACTACTTTATCTGGTGTGGTGAGTCTTGCTGTTCCTGTGCAGAAAAGTGAGCAAGTGAAGGTGTTGTTGCTGTTAAACGTGTAGCAGATGAAGTTCTCCACAGAGAGAAATAAATCTTGCAAATGGGGAATGGGAATATGGGAATATACCCACCAAATCCTGAATGGTCACTGGAGAAGAAGCTCCAACTAGTTAAACATGAGAATGAAAAGCCTGTTGTAG